AAAGAAAAAGAAAGAAAGAAAGAAAGAAAGAAAGAAAGAAAGAAAGAAAGAAAGAAAGAAAGAAAGAAAGAAAGAAAGAAAGAAAGAAAGAAAGAAAACTAAGCAAAATCCAAGATGGAAAAACACAGGGAACTAGGTGATGGATGGGGGAAGGTCTGCCTGAAGAACCAAGTCTTCAGCTTGTTCTTAAAAACTCCTAGTGAGGGTGCCAGGCAAGTATCAGGAGGCAAAATGTTCCAGAGGTGAGTGGTCACTGCCGAGAAGGCCTGGTTTCTAGTTCTCTCCTTCCAGGCCTCTCTCGGGGTGAAGCCCCTCAGCCACCCAGCCTCGTTAAATCGAGTGACATGAGTAGAGCTAGGTGGGAGCAGGTGCTCTGCCTGTTATCGACATCCTAAACAGTTTAGGGCTTTACAGTATATGTAACCATAACTATATTGAAGTCAATGTGGAAACAAATGGACAACCAGTGTAAGGGCACCAGAGTGAGAGAAATGTGATGATATTTTTTCACCTCAGTTAATAGTCTGGCGGCCATGTTCTGGACCATTTGTAGTTTCCACATCAATCTCAAGGGCAGCTCACATAGAGTGCATTACAGTAGTCTAATTTTGAGACTATGAGCACATGGACCAGAGTGGTGAGTGCCCCAAAATCAAGATAGGAGTGCAGCTGGGCAATCTGCCAAAGATGTAGATGGGTGGTACAGACCACAGATGTTACCTGGGACATCATGGTAAGCGCTGGGTCAAGATGGACCCCCAAGCTGCAAACCACATTCTTTGTGGTGAGAGCCCCCCCAAAAGAGAGGGAGCTTCCCAAACCACTGATAGGAGGGGCACCCACCCTCAAGGCCTCCGTCTTGTCTGGGTTCAACCTAAGTCCATTCTCTTGCATCCATTGCAGTACAGCCCCAGGCAGCACTCAAGGGATGCAACGCCATCCACTGCTTTGGAAAAAAGGAGATGTACAGCTGCGTGTCGTCAGCATACTGATGATACAAAGCACCGCGCCCCCGGATGACCCCTCTCAGCAGCCTCATATAGATATTAAACAGCATTGGAGAGATGATAGAGCCCAGCGGCACCCGCAATGGAGGAGCCATGGGGCCAATACACTCTCTCCAAGCTGGACTCTCTGGGAACGGTCCTCCAAGAAGGACTGGAGCCAGGCAAGAGCCAGTCTACCAATCCCCAGCTCGGAAAGCCTCCCCAGGAGGATACCATGGTTGACAGTATCAAAGGTGGCTGAGATATCAATGAGAACCAAAAAGGACATTTTGCTCCTATCGGTCTCCCTCAGTAGGTCATCAAGCAGGGTGACCAATGCTGTTTCCATACCGTGACGCGGCCTGAAGCCTGACTGGAACACATGCAAGGCATTGGTTTTGTCCAAGAGAGCCTGAAGCTGATCGGCCGCCATCCTCTCTACAACTTTGCTATGGAAGGAAGCATTGAAGACGGGCCTATAATTGCCAATGTTGTCCACCGCCAAGCTCAATTTCTTCCTATGGGCCTAATGAGTGTCTCAAGGGCAAGGGGAGCCCTGCGCTCCTGGAGAGACCCATTAATTATTGCAGTGGCCCATTCAGTTGTCACAGGCCTGGCCACTTTGATTCCCCAGGCTGGACAAGGGTCAAGGGGGGGAGGTGGTGGCACGGCAGCGTACCTTGTCAACCTGAAGTGACGTCACTGGCTGAAAGTGAGTAATTCTCTTCAGACAAGACAGTGCCCTGGATGTCTCAGCTCCAGGTTCAAATAGGAGGTTAGGTCCTGGCAGATAGCCTCCACTTTAGCTTTCAAAAATGCTGCAGATTGGTCAAGTGAGATACTGGGGGGCTGGGCAGTCACTGTGACCAATTCCGGATAGATCATGCACTATGTGGAATATTTCTGCCTGCTGGTTGGAAGCTTTGCTTATCCAGAAAGCGAAGTAAGCTTTCTTTGCAGCCTTTATCTGAAAAAGGTAAAGGTTGGACACAATCCTAACAGCTTTTAGGTTATTTTCCATCGGGTTCTGCCTCCAAGTGCTCTCCAGTCTTCTCCTGTTCTACTTCAGAGCTCTCAGCTGCTGGTTAAACCAGGGCGCTGGTCGAGCTCTGCAACAGAGAGGATGTTCGGGAGCAATCATGTCAACAGCCCTGGTGGTGGTGGTGAACCAGCCATCAACCAGAGTCTCGACAGGAGCACCAGCCGAATCAATCGGTATCCCTTTCATAGAGTCCGGGAATACTATGGGGTCCAGTAACCTGCGAGGGCAGGCCATTAAAATAGTCCCCAGCTCCCTGCAGGGACGGGGGGACGGGACACTGTGAGGTTGTATTTTATTAGGTGGTGATCTGACCATGACAATATTAACCCAAAAGCCAGTATGTCTGTTCTTGCATTTCCCGCTGTCCAGCTAAAGTTCTCCTTAGTGGCCTCTGTGAATTCACACTAATGGGTTAATTTGCGCTCGAACAGAGCATTTTTGGAAACTTTCACAGCTTCAAGCACTTAGTGCTGGGAGGTCCCCTACACCAGCTAAATAACTCTGCGCCCCTCTTTAGCAGCAGCTTCGTTTGGAACTTTGCAAGTAAAAACAATTCTATTCCTTTCCTTTCTTTTCTTTGACCTTCCCTTGTTCTTTCTTCTGTAACAAGTTGTTTCTTCTGGGGGGGGGGAGTACTAGCCAGCATCAGCTGTTCTTTGTGAAAGCTTTACAAAGCTGGCTTTAAAGCCTCAGGGCTTTTTCTCTTAAAGACATAAGGTCTCTCTTACCTTCTTAGCAAGGTTACCCCCAGGCTCAAGAGCAACAGCTTTCTACCTGTTTGCAATCTTCCTCTTTCTATCAAAAGAAGAGGACAGCTTCTGAGCTTTGCCCTTGGGAGAAGAAAGCTCCAGCCCCACTTGCCAATGATTCTTCTGATATCTGGTAAAAGCCTCTGTGTGAGGTTGGCATAGAGCAGCCCTCTTGCATCAAGGAGCTTGTTCATACAGCTGTCAAGTCTGCAGTAAGTTGGGCACCTGTAGCCACAGGGTTACCCTTGGAAGAAGAGATGGCCCCCTGCAACTCCTGCCCCCATCCCTGCCTGTCAGTGACTCTCTTGACTGGGGTAAAGCCCCTGTGGAGGTTGATGTGGAACAGCCCTCTTGCATCAAGGGGCTCATTCATACAGCTGTTTAACCTGCAATGAGTTGGGCATCTGCAGCCCTGCCCTTGGAGAAGAAAGGGCCTCCTGCAGTGCTGGCCACCTTTCCGCCTGTCAGTGATTCTTCTTACATGAGGTAAAAGCCTCTGTGTGAGGTTGGCATGGAACAGCCTTCCTTCGTGGGCTCGTTCATATGGCTACTAATTCCAGAGAAAGCTGCGCACTGAGGCTGTAGATGTTCTGGCAACGTACGGTAAGCCTTGGTTTTGCCTTTGGGGATAGAATGGGCCCCCTTCAGCTTCCACTGCCAGCACTACCTGTCAGCGATATGCTTGACCGGGGTGACACCTTTGGGTGGTTTGGCATAAAACAGCCCTCATTTATCAATGGGCTCCTTCTCACAGCTGCTATTTCCAAAATCAGCTACGTACCAAAGCAAGAGCTTTCGTGCAACATTTGGCAGCCCTAGCTTTGCCTTTGGCCCATAATTTGGCACAAAACAGCCCTCTTTATCAATGGGCTTGTTCACACAGTAGCCTGCAGCGCCACCACCTCAGCTGCCAGTGCCTGCATAGGCTCATAAGGAAAGGACTCATAGGAGTCAACCCTAAAACCCTACTACTGTCAGGTAGACCCGAGTAATTTCGTCAGGAGGGTCCTATCACACTGACAAGTTCATGCAGGACCAGTCCCTTTTATCTGGTATAGGAGCTATGAGCCTTTTCCACTACCTTTTCTGCCGCCACTGTCACCCCACTCCACCTGGCACTGTTCTGAGCCATGGGCTAAGGAGTGCTTTGTGCCTCCACCTATGCTTCAAAGGTGTAGTGCTCCCTTGAACTCAGCTCTGGCAGCAAAGTGTTCGTGGGTTCAACCTAACCCGCTGATAACCCTTTCAGCTGTCTCTGTCCTGGCAACTGTATTGAGACTGAGTTTGGTCAGGCTCATGCTAAGAAAGACTGCTCCCCTAATTGTCTGAAGGACTTACCTTATTCAGCTGGGACTCACAAGAGTCAGAAGGGGAGGAAGACTTCCAACCAATCTTCCTACTCCCATATCAGTTGCCACAGCTAGGCACCCTCCTTTACCGTTAACAGATAAGGAGTTATTTGGTCGGCGTTTTTATTTTCTGGCCGCCATGTAGCCAGCTACTCCTCTGCCATGGGCGCTTATCATCACCACTTTTTGAATTTAGCATTGCCGATTCTGTGGGTAACTGCTGTGCTCCTTTACAGTTAAGGCCTCCCTATCACTAGGAGGCAATGGGGCGGGTGCATCACGAGCACATTGCTGCTCGACATGGCTTAAACCAGCATCCAAACAACTGACAGGTCGAGGATCTGCCATTTGTTGATGTACGGCTTTCAGTCAGAAAACTGATGTTATTCTTGATAACCTTCCCAAGCTCCAGAAGGTGTAACAACCGCAAGTACCTGGTGATGCTCCTACCAGCCTAGGGCATAACGGGAACGTCAAAGGCCTCAATCCCAAAGTTACCAGCCGCCACCCCCTAGACATGTGGGCAGGCAGCTCCGTGATCAACAGATCTGCAGGCAGGACCACAAAACTGAGCGGTCTCTTTACTGCACCTGAATTCTCTGTCATTGACCAGTCGGGCCGTCTGGTCCCTCGTTTTTCCGATTGGTGTTCCTTCATGTTTAACACTTGGGTGCTCTCTATCATAGCTACTGGCTATGCTATTGAATTCAATATACCCCACTATCATAGGCCACATTATGGCCACCCCCTCAAAAAAAAAGGATGGAGGCCTCTGGCCCATCCTTGATTTTGAAGGCCTGAATTCTTTTATTACTCTACGTAGATTCTGTAAGGCTTTCTTGGACTCTGTTATTCACATGTTACATCCAGAGGGTTGGTTGGATGCATGTTTTCATGATGGCATCCGGTCATGCCATCAACATTTTCTCAGGCTTTCAGCAGGGGAAATCACTGTTTACCTGTACGTGGATAACTGGCTCCTGGCCGCTGAGTCCAAGTCACAAGCTGGCAGACACACGTCCTTGACACTGTCCCTTTGTCAGTGTTAGGACTGAAGGTCAACATAGAGAAGTCGACTTTGCAACCTACACAGTGTATAGATTGTATTAATGAGACTTGGGATGCTTTCGTGAAGGAGGGTTTTTCTTTCCTGATGACAGGTCTGTGAAATTGCTTGATTTCTTATGCTCCTTTCTTTTCTTCAGGTGCTTTCTTCCCTGTTCTACAGGTCCAGCAACTCCTGGGGCTGATGGCATCTACCACAGCCATGGGACAGCATGCTCAACTGAGAATGCGGTCCCTTCAAGCCTGATTTCTCTCATTTTTTCAGATATCTTGCGACCACCCATCCACGTTGCTCCAGGTGACTCTGAACTCGCTGCGTAAGTGGACTGGTGGGGATCTCCCCCAACCTACACATAGGGAGACCCTTTGGTCTCTTGACCCCGGTTGGTTCAGTCAGTGGTGGATGCCAGCTCGCTGGGTGGACAGGCTTGTCTGCGCCACCACGTTGCCCTTGGCTGCTGGTAGCTGGCCTTCATATCATTGTGCTGGAGCTCCTGGCAAACACCAAGGCCTTTTGGGCCTCTGAGCCCCTATTCCGGGGTCGGGTGGACCAGGTCACATCAGAAAATACCATGGCAGTTTATTGTATACACAAGCAGGGCAGCGCTCATTCGTTACACCTTCTTGTTCTCACCATCAACCTTTCAGAATGGTGTTATGCTTTTGTACAGTGGCTGTACATTTGGCAGGCAAAACGATTCTGTGGCAGTCCCTTTCAGCAGACTACGGTTCTGCTCTCATGAGTAGTTTCTTGATGATGCCGCCTTTTGTTGCTGTCATCGATGGGGGACTCCAGACATAGATGTTTTGCATCCTGATTAAACAAGAAGTGTGCCATGTTGGGCTCCTGAGCTGGAATCGGCCGCAGCTCCCTAGGGCACACCTTCCTGATTAATTGGTAATGGGGCCTCCATTACAGGTTTCCACCTTTCCCCCGTCTTCAAAGGACTGTTGTTTGTGTCCACCACGAGTGTGCAAACATCATGCTTGGTCACCTCGCTAACCATGGTTTTTGATCCTGCTTCCGTGAGCTGCGGAATAAATCAGGCTGCACCTGGTCCCTCATCTGCTTTCTCGGGACAAGGATCAGATATTTCATCTGGACCTCGAGTCCCCCTATCTCTCTACATGGAGTCTTCCGCGAATGTAACAGATATGCTCAAGCATGCTTGCAAATCTTCTACCACCTTGACCTACTCCTATTGTTTTTTTTCTTTTCTTTTTTGTTATACAGTACTTATATGTTGTTTCTGTTTGGAAGCTGCCTAGAGTGGTCGCAAGACAAGATAGGCAGGATATAAATAAAATAAATAAATAATGGGTAGATGTTCTGTCACTTTGCATCAAGATGACATTTGCCTACTAGGCCAATGTCTCTGGACGCATTCCTTCAGTTTCTCCTTTATCTGTTTTGCCTGGGGCTGGCCCGTTCTACCTGCAAGCTGTTTCTCCAAGGCCTGGAGAATATGCACCCTACCTATAGACCACTAACATCTCAGTGGTCTCTATAATCAATTCTTTGGCGGCTTATGAGGCCTCCCTTCAAGCCCTTGGCGTCAGCATCGCTCCACTTGCTGCCTTTCTCCTGGCAATAACCTTGGCTTGCTGGACTGGAGGACTGGCTACACTAAGAGCGGGTTCTCCTTTCTGTAAGGTAACCTTACGGCCAGGCGTTACCTTCTTGCCTAAGGTATTTTCTGCCTTCCATCTGAACCAGCCAGCTGTCTTTCCTGTCTTCTTTCCAACACCATTTTCACTGTCTGAGACAGTTCCGCACACTGTGGACTTGAAGTGTTCTCTGTCACATTATATGCATAGCATACCACTTTTCATGCCTCACAATGTCTCTTTGTCACCTTTGCTGGCTCCTCCTTCAGAGCACTGGCTTCCTCTCAGGCCATCTCTAGATGGGTTGTCAAAACCATCTGTCTTCCCTATGACTTGGCAGAGACTCCTCTTCCAAAGTCAGTGAGAGCTCACTCTACTAGAGCTGTGGAATCCTCAACAGCCTTTCTCTGTGGAGTGGACACCGCGGATATCTGCCACGCTGCTACATGCGCCACTCCGCCTATCCTCATCTCCCTCTACCACCTGGGTGTCCAGCTGAAGGCTAAGGTTGTGGTAGGTCGAGCTGTCCTGGCTTCTGCACTTTTGTGACATCCCTCCTCCTGGTTAGTCAGCTTGCCAGTCACCCATTAGTGTGTATTCACAGAGGCCACGAAGGAGAAAAAGAAATTACTTACCTGTAACTCTGGCTCTTCTAGTGGTCCTCTGTAAATTCACACATTCCGCCCTCCTCCCCGCTGTCTGTCACGTGTGCCATGGCACACTGGACAGTGGCAGTCGTTTCCTTAGAACTGAGGCACTAGTGCCGGGGGCAGAGTTATATAGCTGGTGTAGGGGAGGTACCAGCACTAAGTGCTTAAAGCTGTGAAAATTTCCGAAACTGCTCTACTCGAGTGCAGATTAACCCATTAGTGTGAATTCACAGAGGACCACTCGAAGAACCAGAGTTACAGGTAAGTAACTTCTTTATCTGTTGCTTGGTTTGTATGATGCCATAGCTATAAAATAGTTTGGAATTTTGCTGAATTGCTTTTTATTTTTTCCCCAATGAAGAAATGGCAAGTCCCCAGCGCTTCCTGGGCAATAGCATGGTGACTTGGAGTAACTTGGCATTGGTCATCACACTTCCATGGCACATTGGACTCATGTTCCGTACTAGGCAGAGCCATGGCATCTTCTTGCATGCTACAGCTGGCCAGCATTCCACCATCACCATTTGGGTAAGTGCAAAGCTGAGGTAGCATTTAACTCACCCTATGGATTTTTGGCTGAAGAAGATTACTTTGACCTACAAGCAAGAAATGCAAAAGGTGGGAGTACTCTGAGTCACAGATTTCTGGCTGCATCTAGGGAGGGTACAAAAGGCCTCATGGCAGACTTGGAGGCTATGCAGTTGATACATATCCTCATATTTACTTTGTGGGGCATGGATAATGTTCGTTATAGGGAGAGACTTCATCCAGGGCTGATCAAGCTGACTGTTCTTAAATCTTTCCCAGCTAAGCGAAGCGCATGTGCTTATGACTGTGCACCGTGCCAACAGCCTGGTCTCAACCCTGCGGCTGCACCAGGTGAAGGTGAATGATGGTGACTGGCACCATCTGCAGTTGGAGATACACAGCAGCAGAGACCATCCAGAAGCTCAGTGTTTAGCCATATTGTCCTTTGACTACGGTCTGCATGAGGTACGGTGAACACCAGCACTCAGTTGTTTCAGATCTTTAGCCTATTAGCTGCATGTCTTCTGGCATTCAGGTAGGACTATTTCATCCATTCCTAGACATAAGCCTAACTACACTGAGATTAGTGGAAATGAAAGTATGTACGGGATTTATATGTACAGTGGTGCCCCGCTTGACGATTACCTCATTATACGATGAAATTGCTTGATGACAATGTTTTTGCGAACGCTATTGCGATCACAAAACGATGATTCTATAGGCGATTTTTGTTTGACAATGATCGGTTCCCTGCTTTGGGAACTGATTTTTCACTTAACAACGATCAAAACAGCTGATTGTCGGGTTTTCAAAATGGCCGTCCGCTGTGCAAAATGGTTCCCTGCTGTGTTCAGGATGGATTTTTCTCAAGACAGGCACTGGAAAATGGCTACCCTATGGAGGACCTTCACTGGACGGTGAGGTATTTCCCCCACTGGAACGCATTGACCAGTTTTCAATGCATTTCAATGGGGCTTTTTATTACGCTTGATGACGATTTCGCTCTACAGCGATTTTGCTGGAACGGATTATCATCGTCAAGCAGGGTACCACTGGATTTGCGTTCCCAGAATTGTTGATTTCTATCATTCTACACCATTTAATTATTCCTCCCCCTTGTTTTCCGAACAGTAGTAATGATTCCTGTAAGATTTGATAATGCCACCTATCATCTGCTTACATATCAAACTGCCTGATATTAAGTAACCTTGGAGTATCTAGCTCAAAATTTACTGGCTGTGGCTCTCCAGGGATTCAGGCATGGTTCTTTCCTAGCCTACCTGGAGACACTATGATTGAACCTGTTATGTTCTCCATGCAGAGCATATGCTCTATCACTGAACCATAGCACCTCCCCAGTTCCAGGCCCAGATCCTTCCCTACCCTCTGTTGACTTGTAACTCCCAAGAGCTCTCTTCCACCACCACCAAGAAATTCAGGGCAGATGTTGCTAAGTGGCTGCTTTGTTTGCTTTTAGGTGGTGACCAACATCAGCAGTGAGCTACATGGATTGAAGATACGGAATCTGAGCATTGGTGCTGTACTAGGGGAGAAGGGTGAGGTGCAGCAAGGCTTCCGTGGATGTATGCAGGTAAGAGAGGGCAAGGAGCCAGCCCTTCTGATTCCATCTGGGTTATGAGTAATGCTAGGTCATGATGGGCTAGCTGTGGGCTAGCTGTTTTCTGCCACTTCTCTTTCCAGATCCTTTTGCTTGGTGATGTATTTTTCAGGGCTAATCAGCTAGGCCATCAGTTTGAGCAGTTCACCTGGAACCTTGAACATACCCCATACTAGTGGTGTATCTATGAGGCTGGCTTTTTAAGCATGCAGTTGGGAAAACTGTGAAGTTCGAAAGCTCGAAAAACAAACTTGGAGTATGCCATCTGTTCTTGTCTAGAAACCTTCAGTCACAAAAAAACAGACTGTCATCCTGCACTTTGATATTTTGTCTAAAGCAAACTTACTAACATGTCATAGGTTATGTCCACACTTTTTGTATTCTTCCTTTGCATTAGAAGGAAAGGAAAGGATCTTATTTAAATAAGAGCATTGTAGCATGTCACATAATTTAGTACCATCAATGTTCTGGTTTTGGTTTTCTGCTGAATCTGCATTTGTCAACCCCATCGCTGATTCTGCCCACTAGGCAAATGGATGAGAGTTAGTTGGATATATCATACCTCTGATCAGATGCATGTTGCATCGAAGTGGATATGTATGAAATCCATGCAAGCCTTTTAGCTGCCAATTCTGACTTAGCCTCCTAGACTTAGAATATTTTTTTCATCCCACTCTATGCCACTTAGTGCTGAAGGAATAAAAGGTTTATTGGGATCTGGTTCAGGTTTATCTTTAGAAACTTAATTCCCTTCTCTTTAAGAAATGAGTACCTCTCAGAAATCTTTCAAAAATCTATAAAATGAACTTTTCCCCTGATTTGCATTGTTATTGTAAGTAGTAGTTTAGTGCTAATTGAAAGCTTCTGAGCAGGAGCTGGCCACAGTGGACATGTGCTGCAAATCTGTTTCTCTGGCCTGAAATCAGCATCTCTTTTTAAAAGACATCTCTTTAAAAAGACTAAAGAAATCTTGCAGAAATATTTAATAAATTAATTTCTCTGCGGAACTGAGGAATGTCTGAGTGGTGGCTTGGTCTAAATGAAAACTTCTCACTGGGAACCTCTTGCTGCCTAAACACTACCCCAGTAAAAGGAATACTTTTTAAACCCCTTGCTTTTTAAAAAAGCATTAAGTCTTGGAAAAAAGACATGAAAGAAGTTAGACAAGGGGAACATTGTATGGATGGAAGAAAATATAGATAACATTATTAGTACATTAACAAGAACCAGTGGTCTTTGTGGAAGAGCCTTTAGTTTAGTCCTTCTACTTGAGGGAAAAGGGTTCCATCTAGAGGCTGATTTGGCTCATGTCTTTCTTTCATCTTCCTTCTTCGATTGATACATGTTTATATCACATCTTTTTATCTTCTAAAGAGGGTCTGGGTTATAATTTTAGAAGCTGGTTTAGACAGCAGAGAGACACTAAATTCTGCTTATGATGACAATAGACGGATACTTAACATGCACAAGTGACTGCTCTCTTAAGATCTTGCCCTTGAACAACCTGGCTCTCTGCTTCCTTGCTCCCCCCCTCCCAGGGTGTAAGGATGGGTGAGACATTGGCCAGTGCTGTGGCTCTGGATGTGAACCAGGCAGAGAAGACGAACGTGGAACGTGGCTGCAGTATCCCAGACCCTTGTGATTCCAATCCCTGCCCTGTCAACAGTTATTGCAATGATGATTGGGACAGTTACTCCTGCAGCTGTGACCCAGGTCAGTAGGGATCAGGACTAATGATTTCAAGAAAATATGGAGTGTATTCTTGGAATATGCATTTCGGAGAGGGAAGGGTATATACCGAGGGAAGAAACAATTAATTTTCGGAGAGAAAATGGATTAAATGACGTTTAATGCTAGCCCTGAAGGTGATGGTGGCACTATGTGATATTTAATTGTATCTTACTGTGTTTCTTTTTCTGTGTGGTAGTAGGTTTATGTTGTGTAATTTAATAAAAAAAAATTAAAAAATAAAGTAGGGTTCAGGGCCAATGTTGGAAGAATGTCGCAAGTAGTTCTGAAATGCTTTTGTGCTTGCATCCAGCAAATCAATCTTCCCCAACCAGGTTCCCTCCATATATGCTTGGTCGCGGCTTCTGTCATCAGCACCCAGTACAGTTATGATCATTCTAGTTGGGAATGATGAGAGTTGTAGTATAACATATCCAGGGGGCACCTACTTGCAAAATGTTGCTTCAAAACTTAGTCTTATGTGATACAAAGGGGGCTGAGTTGTAGCGTCAGTTAGGAACTTCTATAGTAGCTCAGTAAGACTGAGCTGTGATATTCTTAAGGCAGGGGACCATGGGTGTGATAGTCTACTGTAACATAGTCTGATTTTTGAGATATTGATAATGGCATTTCAGTTGATTCATTATAAGAATATCACATTTGGTAGCCTCTTCAGATTTATTTTATTAGTCTACTGTAATAGATTCCATTCCTTAATTTGATCTTATACAAGATGTTAGTTCTTATGGATTCTTGGCACATATAATTAACAGACGAGCAACGGACATGGACAGTTCAATGTAATCTTAGCTTTGTTCTCGTACCACTGTTATTGGAAGATAAGAAAGAATGAAGGCAATGTATTAATCCTTGAGCTTTCGAGCATACACACTTGCTGATTAACTTTGGGACATTTACAGGTCAGAGGGAACAACCAAGAATATGACCCCTTTTTCCCCCTTTTAGTTATTACTTCTGCATTCATGTGAGAAGCAATCCAGTGGTTTAGAACAGAATGATGAAATAGAAATAAACAGGGCATTGTTGTTGCTGAGGAGATACCCACATGTGTTCATAGTCCTCACATTTGTTTTGCACTGAAGTGGTGAAAGAGAGAATGAATCCCATAGTGATGAGTCCCATTCTCATGTTCTTTTCTCCAGTTGTTCCTCCCATTTGCACCAATTTTCACTTATCTGGAGTGTCATTCATTTGGGCTTTCTCCTTTTATGCTTCAGGCTACTATGGAGATAGCTGTGCCAATGTTTGCTCCCTTAACCCATGTGAACATCAAGCCGTGTGTGCCCGCAAGCCCAGCTCATCCCACGGCTACACCTGTGAGTGTCCCGACAACTACTTTGGGCCCTACTGCGAGAACAAGTGAGTTGCCCACTGCTGCTTTGGGAAAGCACATGTGTATGTGTGTGTGTGTGAAAATGTTCTCATAGCTGCATCTGTCTTACTTGTCAGTGCAGGTAGAAATAATTTCCTCTAAGAGCTATGTTCTGTTTGCTGATAGCTGTGCATGGGCGGAGAGGTGACGTTTATGCCTGGGAACATTGTGCCTAAGAAAATGTAAGGAGGGACATGGATTGGAGTAGTATTAAATAAGTCCATGGAGTCTACATGTAACTGGTAACAGTGTGGTTGATGTGTATGTCTGTAGAACAAAATAGCTGCAGTCATATATAACACAAAACCAGTTTTAATGTGGAAATATGTTTGGAAATCCTTTAAAAAATTGGTAGTTTTGATTTGTTGTCTCTTCTCGAAGACCTCACAAATTATGACAGCCAATGCCGGCCACCAACCACATCAGAGCAGAAGACTCTAGAGGAAAGGATCCCTTGCTTTGTAACTCCTGATATCTATGGCTGAAAGCACACTGATTTTTTAGAACTTCTCTCACATTAGGGCTTTTCCGTATGAAGTGTTTTTTGATCTTTGGCACTGGTGGCTAGCTTTTGTCCACTATTCCTACCCCAAACATATGCTGTTTTGCTTTGTTGATGTTTTGTCCTGCTGATATTTTTGCAGTGTGTCTTTAACAAGTCCTGTCCTCTCTTTGTGGTAGGCTTGCTCAACCCTGCCCACGGGGATGGTGGGGCCACCCTATATGTGGACCCTGCAATTGTGATGTTGGCAAAGGCTTTGACCCTGATTGCAATAAAACCAATGGAGAATGCCGCTGCAAGGTGAGCCTTAGCATATGTGTTGTTCCTTTTGGACAGAGCTATGTTAGAACTTTAAAAGAATGTAGATGGTGGTTCTACCAGTGGATAGATTTCCAAATGCACTTGTCTGCAGAGGAATATGTAGGTTATTCTGCAGTTTGTACACCATATGTTGGGCACTGTTCAGTGTTGTGGTTGCTCAGGCGCTGTCTGCTTTAACTAACAGCACTTTGACTTTGAACATACACCGCTTTTCCCTTCAATTGCATACTCTGGATCAGATCCTGGCTTAGCCAGGAGGTTTACAGACTTCTGAAATAAATATGACTTTTCCACTAAATCAGGTTACTTAGATTTATGTGTCTTCTTGCTATTCTACAGGAGAATCACTACCACCCAGCAGGCAGTGCTATGTGTTTGCTCTGTGACTGCTATCCCACAGGCTCATTGTCTCGTACTTGTGAACCTGAGACTGGGCAGTGCTCCTGCAAGCCAGGAGTTATTGGGCGCCGCTGTGACCGCTGTGACAACCCTTTTGCAGAAGTCACCATCAATGGCTGCGAAGGTCAGCAGTGTCTCCTTGTGAGGCTGAGTTGAGGGTGTACAACTAAAGGGCATGTGATGAGGAAGGTGTGATGATGTGACATTGTTTGCCTTTTCTTAGGGCTGAATAGGTCAGGTACCATCACAGGAACATACGAGGAGGCCTGCTGGATCAAAACAACTTCGATGTGGATTATTATTTTCTTGATGACCCAAGATTTCTTATTGCCTGTAGTTCTTTGCACACATTGGCCAAAATCCTGTTGCTTAGTGTAGTAATTTGTACTGAAATAGACTTATTAAAGCAATGAGGATATACTGAGTCAACTTCTCAGTAAGATTCATTGATTCAAATGGGCCTACTCTAACTGTGGCTTAGTAAATCTATTGTAGTGTGAGTTTTCTGCATGTTCTCTGCTTAGAACAGTAATTCTTAGTTTTGGGTAACCCAGGTGTTCTACCCAGGTGTTTGCCTTCACCACTTAGCTGTGCTGGCCAGGGCTTCTGGGAATTGCAGTCCAGGATCACTTGGGTTACCAAAGGCTGGGAATTGCTCACTTATTATTCTTAACTGAGTTCCTAAACTGTCTCTTTTGTCTTGTAGTGAATTATGATAGCTGCCCACGAGCCATTGAAGCAAACATTTGGTGGCCGCGTACCCGTTTTGGCTTGCCTGCAGCTGCATCCTGCCCCAAGGGATCTATAGGTAATGAAATGCCTTTGAGATTGTCATTATTTTTACATGGGAGGAGCAGATAGTTTGGTTATCACATGGTCTTTGCATGAACTGAGCACTTCCGTTGCATTTGCTTGGCACAAAGGTGGTTTGGGTCGTTTGAGACAAAATTTCCACCCGTGATCCATGTTTAGCTAAGAACAAGACCTGCCCGTTGATCTATCTGCTTAGATACAAAGTGGAGTTTTAGAAGGATAATTGTGGAAGTTTGTAGTAAGAAAAACAGCAATGCATTTAGTGGTATCTTGGGTGCAGAGCAATGTATTGTGGCCTGTGTTTTCATGGGACAGCATGTACTTAGATATGCAAGGAATGGCTGCTTTCTGGCAAATGATCCTTCTCTCCTTCTGGCCCACAGGGACTGCTGTCCGGCACTGTCATGAACACAAGGGCTGGCTGTCACCCAACCTCTTCAACTGCACTTCTTTGACCTTTGCTGCTCTCAAGGGCTTCGTAAGTGTTTTTCTTTCATTCTCTGCTGTACCCAGAGCCAAGCCAGGAATCCGTGGATGTACTTCTTTTGTATGTGTTATGATGTTTGAGGGAGGGGAACCTTGCTGTTATTTTTAGTTCGTAGACATTTTCCAAGTGAGCAACTATGAAACACAGTGCTTTAGCCTCACGTGCTCCGAAGATGCATTCACATGATCCTCGTTTAGTAGTCCAGTTTATTGTCCCTTCACTGTAAGTTGAGGATGAGATTTTGAAAGCCTTGTAACTGCTGCCCCTACATTCTTTCATTCTTTCATTCTTTCATTCTTTCATTCTTTCATTCTTTCATTAATTAATTAATTAATTATTTAATTATTTAATTAATTAATTAATTTTCTATCTATCTATCTATCTATCTATCTATCTATCTATCTATCTATCTATCTATCTATCTACCTACCTACCTACCTACCTACCTACCCACCCACCCGGACCAAAGGTCTACCAAGATTCATGTAAGAGTAGTCAGAAGCACCACAACTTTCACACTAACGTTTTCAAGTTTGGACAGATTGGTCTCATTGGATGGTGGCTCATCTGGGGGAACATCTTACCTCCATTTTGGGATGGGATGCTCCCTTGCTCTGCTTCTCAACTAGCTATGTTAGGGTGCGATTCCACTGGCAAAAAGAACTACTGTTAAATCTATTTAAGCATTATCTAAATAGATTTATAAATTCCTAGGCAAAGGCCAAACAGGTAGAGTTGATTTATTTGGATTGCAAGACATTTTTTTTTGTAAACCACTGCAGGGACTTTTAAAAACTCCTGACTTCTAAATTAATTTAGAGGAAATCAGTTTGGCTGTCGTAGATGGGGCTGTCAATTTACTTTGTGCCCCTGTCCAGTTTGGGAGGCATTGGCACCATGATTCTTACTTCCCTTTAAAAACAAGTTCTTGTAGAAATGTTTAACAATGCATTGTTTAGTGTGCTGTGACTGAATTTTTTTTTTTTTGGTCAGTAGTTTATCACTATATCACTTAATCAATATATTCTGAATACGTTTTCAAATGAATGCAGCCATCACTTTAGCAATATATCACTTATTTTTTAAAAAAAAAAGTCAAAAAGGGAACAAACAAGTGCTCCTAAAACAGAAAGGATATACATTTATTTTTTTCTTTCTGGTATAGCCACCAAAACTGGTTTTAATTACCAGAAATAAATCGAATTAATTTAAGTCAAAGTCAAATTTAATGCGGCTATTGGTTTATACCAGTGACTTAAACTTGCATTTTAAAAAGTTGGAATAGGAATCAAATTGGCAGTGGAACCACACCCTTACTTTCTCTCAATTATTACAGTTCCTTAGCACTGCTGTTCAATAATTATTTATTTTATTTATTTAAAATATTTTACCCCACCCTTTCTCCTTTAAAAGGGCCCAAGGCGGTTTACCTCGTTATAATAATGTAATGCTATTCGTTGTTACATTAGCCAGAAAGACATAACATGTACATCTTGTACCAACTTAACTCAGCTCCCCAGCCCAACCAAATTATAATTTTAATGTTGCTATATTAATTTAAAAAATTCCACTTTCCCTCAAAGCATGGTGATGATCAAAGTGGCCAGCATCAAATGGTCAGAATTAGCATTCCAGTAATTATTCATAGTAAGCAACTGTAACTAATATAAGATAAATTATTTTTAAAATACACATTTTAACTATGCACATGCTTAATTTGCTTTTGCATAATTATCTGAATTTTGTTAGGTTCCGTTGGGGTAAGGAGTGGTAAAGTCCCTAATGCCATCCTGTCGTTCTGTTTAGTCCTGTTTAGCCTATTGTAGTTTAGGACATTTCACCAGGCATAATCCTCCTGTCTTTAAGCTTAACTTTCACTCATAAGGACTAGAAACATGAAAGCAAGGGTTTTGTTTTGGCAGGGCGTTGGAATCAATAGTTACTGTGGTTCCTCCCAGCCCTAGTCTTCTATAATCTGGCAAAGCTGTGATTATCACTGTTTTATACAGAGGGGCTGAGTTCAGAGTAGTGGGCGGACTGCACTTGGCCAATGGCCCTGTTATGTTTTAAGTGCCTGGCACTGAGTGTCTTTGTCTTTGGTGTGGAGTAGGCAGAAAGGCTGTTGCGGAATGAATCAATGTTGGATACAGAACAGTCTCAGCAGATTGCTCTCCAGCTTCGCAATGCTACGCAGAACACAGCCAGCTTCTTTGGTAGTGATATCAAGGTGGCTTATCAACTCTCAGCCCAACTTCTGAAGCATGAGAGTACCCAAGAAGGTTTTGGCTTGGCTGCTACGCAGGATGTTCACTTCACTGAGGTATGTCCACGGGCCCAAGTTCACATGAAGCTTAAATTCATCATAGCAAAGGAACAAGTATTCTTGGAGGAAGGGGGAAAGCAGCAGAGATGCAGGGCTTTTCACTGCAGGGCACAGAACAGTTTTCTGTTGCAGTGTGAGAAAGCTACTGTGGTGCTGCCTGACTGGACTTATGATGTGGAGCATGGGGTACCCAAAGCTGGTGCCTCAGCAAAAAAGAAGTTGTGAACATCTGGTTCTTCCATCTTGGGAGAATCAAGCTGTTCAGTGCTGTTGTTGGAAGAGGTGAGAAGAGAGTTAGGTCAGTTTGAGCAGATGCATATTGGAAAATAATTCCAGACACCGTCTGTGCTCAAAGTCATTTATATTGACTAATTACTCCATTGACTATCTCACCAGCACTTCTACTCTCCAAATTCTTTAAAAAAATTAAGAAAAAATTTAAGAAGTCTCACTGTCCTTTAGGTGTCATGGAGGGGTGATAGTGCTATACTTTGAGGGCCCTTTGTAGCCCTCCAGATTTTTATATTTGGAATATTATTTCAAACACTAGGCATATATGTTTCAGGTTTTTAAAAAATCATTTTGAATAAGAAACAATGGGTGGTGGTATGGGTACAGCCTTCCATAGTACAGAAAGGGGTGTGTGCATTGTTGAGAAATCCCCCCCCCATATAAACCCATCCAATTTCCAGTAGAAGACACTCTCAACTATCTCACAGTGTACTTTTCCCTTTCTGTCCTTTAGAACCTGCTCAAGGTGGGCAGTGCCTTACTGGATCACAGCAACAGGCGTCACTGGGAACTGATCCAGCAGACAGAGGGTGGCACAGCCCAGCTGCTCAAGCACTTTGAGGATTATGCCAGCACTTTGGCTCAGAACATGCGCAAGACATATCTGAACCCCTTCACCATTATCACACCCAACATTGGTGAGAGCATAGTAATAATTATGGCTATTTCCTCATTAAAGAAATACTTGTTTAATTGTATCCATACTGTTGATTATTTCCTCAATCAAACTTTCATACATTTTCCTTTGAATAAAACAATATTTGTGAAGAAAAAAGCATAGCAGATTTGTTTTGGATAAGCTATATGCTTCTAGAGTGATAAAAGATAGCAAAACCGCTTCTGAGGACTTTGTATCTAACAAACCTTGAGGAGGTGTGATAATCAGAATCAGTTTGATAGGACAGACTGAGAGGATCAGCAGAAAGAAAATGAAGAACCAGCAGATGTTGTGGTAGCTGCTTCCACTGGTTCCTGGAAATATGAATGCTAGCAGTTGTCATTCAAGAGTTCCAGGAGTGTTATTTGTGGTTGTTGTCAGGCCACAATGGCTGTGCCTCTGTAGTGGACAGCAGCAGTGATGGTACCATGATGAACTGCCCTGTCTCCCAGTCACAGACTTCTCTTTTAGACAAGAATGCTGTCCCTTCCAAGGCCAACCTGTGAAGAGACTCTCTGTGTTCCAAAAGAGGCCCAACCACTGGATGTGTTGGTACATCCACCCCAAAGTGCTGAAAAGGTACAGCCAAGATACCCTCCCCATCCCCTGCCAGTGGAACTACATCACACAAGTTCTGTCTGTGGCCAAGGAAGATGATGGCAATTCATTTGGAGGGACAGTGGCCAAACAGAAGCCAATGGGAAGCGTGCCAGTCACCAAGTTTTTGAAGCAAACTCCAGATGCTGAGATGGATGGATTTCAGGAAGACACAGAGGAAAAGTTCAATGAGGAAAGCATCATTATGGAGAATGAACCAAGTCAAGCCCCTGGGGATGCTGGGTTGCAGACCCCTGGAGCTCAAGAGACGGAGCAAAATTCCCAGGTTACTAGTGACAAGTCCTCCAGCACTGTCTGATACAGAATCACATCATTTTTACTGATCTATATGTATGTAGAAGTCTTTTAGCAACTGTAAAACTCCTGTGTATCTTTTTATTATTTTTATTTTTATTATTAATAATATTGTTGTTGTTGTTGTTGTTGTTGTTGTTGTTGTTGTTGTTGTTGTTGTTGTTGTTGTTGTTGTTGTTGTTGTTGTTGTTGTTGTTAATGATAATGATAATGATATGCTTGAACATAACTTTGTGCTCTTTGTAAGGAGAAAATATCACTTTGGTCTGCCTCAGAGTGACAGAAACTCAAGCCTGTAATTTTTTTAAGAGGTTTAGTGGCCAGATGTGGGCAGGGGCAGGATTAGATGAATGAAAAACATGCAACATATGATCTCTCCAATAAAAATCATTAGTGACATCACATAATTATTAGTTATCTAGGTGATGGTTGCACATTTGCTTTGTGATCAGCTGCATCTGGGAAGAAATATTCCTCTGTGTGTGGGGAAGACAGGTGGTGGTGGGGGTTTCAAGCAGATTTTCCAACTGCACAAATATGCATTAAGATGGTTGTTAGGTATTACAAACTTAAATGTCTAGCTATTTCAGAAATAGTATGTAACATAAATTGTGTAAGGATAAAATGCACTCTGTTTATGCGTATAAAGCAATTGTCCAAACCATATTAAAACAAATTCTTATTTTTGGTCAGAACCTCTTCTTTTTCACTATTACCTTCGTTCAAGTAATGCTTAGTTGCTTGTAAATACTCTTGAATTACTTCAGGTCTGTCTCACACACTATATTTTTATGAACATTCTTAAACTGACCAATCTAACCTGTCAACAAACTGTTGTTGCTCTAACCACTGCTCACTGTTTATATAGATCCCACATAAAATTACTTTTCCTGAGAGATCAAAACCCTACAAATACATTATCCCAGTAACGCTTTCAATATTATAAAGCAGTATGTATTATAATCCGAGCATTGTAAACTGAGGGGCTGAATCCGAGAGATAATTGCTTTCTTAAGGTCAGCCAGTTTATTCAAGTTAATTCCCCTTTTCATGGTGGAAATGGGGTGGAGGACAGGATTCACATCCATCTTTATCAAATTATCTGGAACTCTTTTTTGGGGGTTGGCTTTTTATCACTCTGGAGATACTGAACTGGGGTTTGTCATAGAATATTTGTGAGACATCAGTTTATGGTGGTGAATCACTGGCTGGAAAGCAAGAGTGGCATCTGCTGAAGGCCCAGGTTCAAAGCTCTCTTCTTTGTGCATAACCACATCTTTGGCAGAGAAAGGGATTTATGAGTGAAGCTGAGCAGTGGACATCCAGCTGCCTTGATGCTTAATGATGATATCTTTATATATCTTTGGCAGTTATTTCTGTGGTGAGGCTGGAGAAGATGAATTTTGCTGGTGCAAAACTGCCACACTATGAGGCACTGCGAGGCGAAAAACCTGCAGACCTGGAAACCACTGTCATCCTCCCTGAAAGTGTTTTTAAAGCCCCAGAAGGGAAACGTAAGTTTGGTCTTTTGGAATGAAAATTTCCTGGCATTCTAGAAAGGGCTGAAAACAACGAGTCTTTGTTCTACTGAGACTCTGGATCTTTGGGTCTGTAGTAGACCTTTGACCCAGCACATAGGCCAGGATTGAACAGATATATAATTTGGGATTCCATGGTGGCTATTGGAATCCAAAGTTTTGGACAGATTACAAATCTGGATTTTGCATTCTTCTACTAATTCACCTGTTTTCCTCTTAGCTTTTGCTTAAAGCATTGGTACACTTCTCTCTTCCTTGCTCTTCATTGTAGGATCAAGTTGTAGGTTGTCTTCTAGGAGTGTGCAACATTTGTTACCTCATCTGATCACAAAGCCTAGAGTGGTCCTCACTGACCAGATAGGCGGGGTATAAATAAAATAAATAAAATAAATAAAATAAATAAATAAAGCTATATCAGGGAGTCATTTGGTGGGCTTCACGGGCTTTTCCAGAGTTTGTGGAAACAGAGGCCAGAGTTTGTGTGGTGTATGGTTGATTCAAATTAATTCTGAATTTCACTATTTGGGCCAAAATACATATGATACATTAATTCTTACAATTCATCCTGTCGATGGCTCCCCTCTGCCACATAAGGGAAATGGAGGCTAAAATGGAAAAAGAAGGGACCTGCAAGGGAAGAGGTATTGCATAAACATTTCGCTTCCTAATATTTGTCAGTTCAAAATCTGCCTTCCAAATTGGTTGTCTTCTCAAGAGGGTAAAAGTGTGTGTTTGTGTGGAGGGTGGCGTTCTCGTATATTTTTCCTCATTGATGGGAAGACATTTTGGAAATCTTCAATGGGCAAAGGCTTTTCAGTGAGGTCTGGGAAAGGGACTTACTAGAATAGGCAGGACCAAGAAAAGCAATTGTCAAGGAACAACGGCAAATGGAGATTTATCAGATTGATACTAGAATCAAACTCTGATTCCAGGTAATTTTGAAGGTCATGAAGGAAACTCCAAGATTTGGTAGTGATAAATACCTTTCTAAATCTGTTGCAGCAAAACCAGCAAAGAATCTTGTGGCACCTGAAAGTCTAACGAGTAAAATTTTCAGTACTGCACACAAGTCTTTTCTGTTTTGAAGGGTTTGATTTCATATGAGAGCAATCTAAATCCAGTCTGGTCACTAAGCATGATCAGACCAAGGAAGTCAAAGGTTGCATTCCTGTAAGAAATCCTCCAAAATTACATGATAGCTTTATTGGGTTAAGTATGAACAATCAATTTGCCACGTTGTATCCAGAAAAGTATTCCATTTTGCGGCAAAATGATGGGATCTAAAATAAACAAACATTAATTATTTTGAAACAGAAGTAGAGCTAAATTGAGCTTGGGAAGCACAAATAGCTCTCAAAGCAAGGTTGATAGGGACAGAGGGGTTGATTGAAATAACAGCTCTCAATAATGGCTCTCACATGCTGGTAGCAAATCATACAGAACCCCGGTCAGCTATTAGATGGGGGCATGGTGGAGTTTCTGGAAGCAAGGAGCACAATGCAGAAGCACAGATCTTTGATGAAAATAAACCCACTTATTTCCTAGGCATAAGGTGACCAGAGCTCTGGCAACACTGTTTTGGTGGTTCTTATACAGAAAAAGAGTCTATAAATAAATAGTAGAAATAAATAAATACTAGTTCAAAGATCTCTGTCTCTGGCAAAGTAAAATCCAGCTCAGTGTCTCATGCTCACTTTTCAGAGCCTTCTGTGGCCAATGCCAGGCGTCTCTCTGGCTCTGGTGAAGAAGAAGGACCTGCTTTGATGACAAGACAGAAGAGGCACCCAGATCTAAGTGAAGGCCAGGCTATTGCCAGTGTGATCATCTACCGCACACTGGCAGGTTTGCTTCCAGAGCAATATGACACTGATAAGCGGAGCCTGAGGTAAGACCTGTCCCTGTTCAACTTAAAAGTCACTTAACATTCTGTCTCAGTAAAGCTTACATAATATCAGTGAACCAATACAGCCTCTCTTCATATGCTTAAAATCTAAATAATGTAATAAATAAATACATAGGATTATAATAAGTAATCAGAATAATAAAAAAAGAAATGGGAAGGGAAGAGTAAAAAAGCAAACATGAGCCTCAGTTATTAAAGGTAAATGACCAGCTAGAAAAGCGGCACAAGGGGAAGAGAAGTGTATTAGAGCTGATCTCTGCAGTATTGGTGGAATGGCATCACGTTTCCTCCTGCTAAAGGATCTTTTCTGAGACCTACAAACACACACAAAATTAATATCTGAGGGTGTAAGGGATGCTCTGATACCCAAGATACACAGCTCCTATACTTACTCTCCCAAGGAGAGACTGGTTTGGAAATCTTATCAATTCTTCTCTGAGGGGGTGGGAGTTGTCCACATTTGTTGTTGCTGTTTAGTCATGTCCAACTCTTTGTGACTCCATGGACCAGAGCACGCCAGGCCCTCCTATCTTCCACTGCCTCCCAGAGTTGAGTCAGCTTCATGTTGGTAGCCTCGGTGACACTGTCCAACCATCTCATCCTCTGATTTCCCCTTCTCCTGTTGTCTTCACACTTTCCCAACATCAGGGTCTTTTCCAGGGAGTCTTCTCTTCTCATCAGATGGCCAAGTATTGGAGCCTCAGCTTCAGGATCTGTCCTTCCAGTGAGCACTCAGGGTTGACTTCCTTCATTTCATGGCTGCTGTCACCACCTGCAGAGATCATGGAGCCCTAGAAAGAAAAATCTGCCACTGCCTCCATGTCTTCCCCTTCTGTTTGCCAGGAGGTGATGGGACCAGGGGCCATGATCTTAGTTTTTTTTTTAATGTTGAGCTTCAGACCATTTTTTACACTCTCCTCTTTCACCCTCATTAAGTGGTTTTTTAATTCCTCCTCACTTTCTGCCATCAGAGTGGTATCATCTGTATATCTGAGGTTCTTGATATTTTTTCTGGCAATCTTAATTCTAGTTTGGGATTCCTCCAGTCCTGCCTTTCGCATGATGTACATATTCTGCATATAAATAAGCAGGGAGACAATATACAGCTTTTTCCAAATTTGTACTCCTTTCCCAATGCTGAACCACATAATAATCCTTCTTGTGCTTGTTGAGGGGGCTTGGACTCTATTTTTGCCTGTTGTTTACATGCTGTCAGTTCTTATATATCTTCATGACTTCATGTCCATGAAGTAGGTGATTTTCAGTGCCCAGGGCCTGAACTGGAGGCAGGGACACAGCCATTATGATGATGGTATAAATAAAATAAAATAAGACCATTTCTGTACAATGTTTCGTTTGATACATTTGTTTTGTTTTCATTTCATAACAAAGTAATAGCTAAAAATAAGTAATAAAAAGTGGTCAGGATGCTTCTCTGAATAATACTTTTGTGAGGGAACAGGGTGACAGGTCACACACCTAGGAATACAACCAACGCCTTGCTAATAAGTTTGCATTTTGCCTCTGAGAAATACATGATTTCTGTAATGCAAGCATAAATCAGTACAGTAGTAGGATTCTGTCCAATAAAAACAGTAGCATTCATTTAAATAGTTTTTTATATAAACCAATAACAATCAGGAAAATACCAATAAAACATTTCTGGGTAAACATATATTTCCTTAATTGGTGGCAGAAACATGCAACATTAGGAACCTGCCTAATCTAAGTGGGTTAATTCATTCCACACAGCAGGTGCCACAATATATAGAGAAGACTCTTTTTCATCTGAGGAGGAAGAGATAGTGGTCTTTGCAATCTAAGAGTGGCAGATGTCTCAGAGTCATGGGATGGGTCATGAAACTAAGTGTGTGTGTGTGTGTGTGTGTGTGTGTGTGTGTGTGTGTGTGTGTGTGTGTGTGTGTGTGTATATATATGTATATATATATATGTGTGTGTGTATGTATGTGTGTGTATATATATATATAAAAAACAGGGATATGGTTTAGTATGCATTGTCTGTTCTCACAGAGTCCCCAAGCGCCCCATCATCAACACCCCTGTGGTGAGCATCAACATCCATGACAATAATGCGCTGATGCAACGTGCCCTGGAGAAACCTATCACAGTGCAGTTCCGACTACTGGAAACTGAGGAGCGCACCAAACCTATCTGTGTCTTCTGGAACCACTCTATCCTGTGAGTCCTGCTTTCTGGACAAGTCTGGGGACTTAAGCATGTCTCCACCGAGCTTGGATGAGATAAGTTTTCTGGAAAACATATTTCAGCCAGCATGGCTAACTGGGGGATTCTTGGAGTTGTACTCTAAAAATGTCCCAACCTTCTGTGTTGTGGGGAGGGAAATGCACTCTATGTCGTGTTAATCCTGGGTGAGACACCCTCTTATTGCTGTTGTTTTCAGTGTCAGTGGGATTGGTGGCTGGTCGGCCAAAGGCTGTGAGGTTGTCTTCAGGAATGAGACCCATGTTAGCTGCCAGTGCAACCACATGACGAGCTTTGCTGTGTTGATGGACATTTCTCGCAGAGAGGTGAGGCAAGCAGGGACCTACCACAGGGCAGGGATGTTGACAAGTCTTTGAATCTGAGAGTCTTTCAGTACCAAGTACCAAGTCTGCGTCCAAGTCTTTGGTACCATGTCCTGAGTCCCGAGCCCCAAGTTCAAGTCCCAATTGAAAACTAGTCTTTTCCCCAGAAAAAAGGGAGGGGTGGGCGGGCTGCGAGTTGCGAGTTGAGTCTTAGTCATTGGAAAACTAAACTGAGTTGAGGCTGAGTCAAGTCACCAATGTGACTTAAGTTCAACTTGGCAGTGACTCCCATGACATTACACACCATTCCTGCCACAGGACACAATGGAAATGAAGAAAACAGAGGAGAGAGAGAGTGGCTTCTTTCTCTCAGAGGTCAAAGAGTGTGACAACATGGCTGAATCCACATCTTTCTGATGTTTCTCTAATTTTTTCTTCCTGCCAGAATGGTGAGATCCTTCCCTTGAAGACCATCACATATGCATCCATTGCTGTGACTCTGAGTAGCCTCCTGCTCACTTTCCTCTTCCTGGCTGGCCTCCGGGCCCTGCGATCCAACCAGCAAAGCATTCGCAAGAATCTCGTGGTTGCGTTGTTCCTCTCTGAACTTGTCTTCCTGCTGGGCATCAACCAGGCTGACCTACCAGTAAGTTCCTGGAGGGGTGGTAGTGGTGAAACTGTGGGAAATGGGCAGGGATCTCAACTAAACAGAGACAGGCCATGATACCAATCCATGCCAGACCTGGCAGCACCACCATGATAGATGCCTTGGGTTTTGAGCCCATTGCTAAGAGTAGGCTAAAAGCAGTCCTATCTGGTATCTACATGTGCTTGCCTATTTGAATGCCTTTGATCAAAGGGGTCAACTGAAGTTTCTGTAGCTGCAGGAGCAATACAGTGTATTATGGCAAATATCAATTTAACCTGTACACACAGGTGCAGAATGTTTCAGTTTTGGTTGTGTAGATTCACACAGTGAATCCAGTCTGTCTAACCTTTTTCTTCCTGTCTTTCCATGCCAGTTTGTATGCACTGTCATTGCCATCTTGCTGCACTTTCTGTACATGTGCACTTTTGCCTGGGCACTGCTAGAAGCACTGCACATCTATCGCATGCTGAGTGAGGTGCGCGACATCAACTACGGCCCGATGCGCTTCTATTACATGGTTGGCTGGGGTGTGCCAGCATTCATTACAGGTAGGGTTTGCATCAGACGTTATATAGATCCTAATTCAGGGCCATTTTGACCAAATTATCGAGAGATCCATTCATGAAGTTTCAGTTTGGCAACAAGAGACTCTGAGTACTACTTGAGTTAAGAGTCAAACCAAACACAGCCAGACAGAAGACAGAGCTAGGATGGGTTGACTGTCAAGCCTATTTACATGTATATCCTTCAGACCCAGGCCATGAGTTGTTGTCTTAATGGTGGTGTTTTGAGTGAGAAGGTAATGATACATACACTTCCTTTTCCCTCTGCTGATGGCTCTGTGTAACTTTCTTCCTTAGGACTGGCTGTGGGTCTGGACCCTGAAGGTTATGGGAACCCAGACTTCTGTTGGCTCTCCATCTATGACACACTGATCTGGAGTTTTGCTGGACCCATTGCTTTTGCTGTTGCAGTGAGTAGAGAAAACAAGTAGGGAGAAGAAAGAAGAGAAACACATCCAATTGTGCAAAAGTAATCAAAAGTAACCAAGCAGATTATCCCCAAGGGCTGACTGCCTGTTTTCCAGTGCATAGTTAATACTGTGGAATTTGTGGACACAAAATGCAGTGATAGCCACCAACATGGAGGGCTTTAAAATCAGATAAGAGAAATTCATGGGTTGGACAAAATCAGTCTACAAGTCATGATGGCTACATATTACTTCCAGTACCAGAAACAGAGTACAGTACAGTGGTGCCCCGGATAGCGACGATAATCCATTCCGGATTAATCATCGCTATCTGGAAACATCGCTAAACGGAATTTAAAAACTCATAGGAACGCATTAAACTTCGTTTAATGCGTTCCTATGGGGCCCAAACTCGCCGCTATGCGGAGATCCTCCATAGCGCTGCCATTTTCGCGCCCTCGGTAAGCGAGGAAATCACGCGAAAATAGTTGCGGTGGCCATTTTGGGCACCCAGCGGCCATTTTGGAACCGCCGATCATCGCAATGCGAAGATCGGTAAGCGAAACGCTTGCCGATCATCACAATGCGATGTTTTACCATTTAAAACATCGCAATGTGATCGCATTAGCAATCCCAAAAAATAGATCGCTATGCGGATTCGTCGTTAAACGGTGCGCTCGTTAATTAAGGCACCACTGTATTTCTCTGAATACCCCCTGATGGGAAACATGAGCAAAGTTGTGTTGTTGTACTCATGTCCTGCTTGTGAGTTTCCTATGGGGAAATGGTTGACACTGTAGAACGGAATCCTGGACTAGATAGATTTGTAGTCTGCTTTAGTATAGCTATTCTTATGCTCTAGAAAATGAGAGAGATTTTGCCTCCAAGGGTGGTGATTGAGCATTTTTGCTCAGATTTCTCCTGTCTATGTTTTTGCCTCTGCTGTGGGTGCAAAAACATGGTTGTTTTCTAATTCTCTTTTCCCACGTGAAAGAGGTGCTTGGAAAAGACTGGAAATAATCACACTGAACTGATTGCTGTTGCTGTTGTGGAAGTGGGAAGAAATGCTTTTCTGTGTCACAGCTTTCCCCTTATTTCCCTGGTTCTCATGGCAGAGCATTTTTCCAGGCTAGTGACCTCTGACTGGCCAGAACGACAGCTAAAAAGTAACTTTTCTTCTTGTTTATTTCACAGATGAGTGTCTTCCTCTATGTCTTGGCCACCAAAGCCACTTGTGCTGCTCAGCAACAGGGTTTTGAGAAGAAGGGGACAGTGTAAGTTTGGCATTCCTCATCTTTGACTGTGCTAAAGGTCCTTGTGAGCATGAAATTGCCCTACTTTGTTGCATATAGTGACCTACTGCTAGGTTCCATAGCCTGCTTCTCCCTATTGCTTCTGCTTCAAGAAGAAACCATAGAAGTTAACAATTGAGCTGAATTGCCACACTCACATAGATTCCCAGTGTGGTGTGGTGAATAGAGTGATTGACTAAGTCTCTGGAGATTAGGATGTGAATTCCCATTTGGCAATGGAAATTCACTGGCGGAGTGGGACTGGTAAAACCACTTGTTAAATTTCCCACTTACATTGAAAGCCATATTAGGGTCACTATAAGTGGGTTCTGACTTGACAGCACAGAACACACACACACACACACACAAACACACACACACACACTGCTCACACAAGGGCACCTAATAAACTGGCACAGTTGTAGACCATAGTGAAAAGGGTCCCATTTGAAGCTTTGTTAACAGTGGAGCCAGGCATCCGTACTTGGGAAGAATGTCCCATAACTCAGAAGGCTTTTGGATCTTACCCAGAGCTGTGGGTTCAAATCTTCTGATGTTATTCCATCTCATAACCTCCTTTTCACCTTGCAACTGGCTACTTACTGCCACATCCAGTGTTGATGCATCTCAGCTATGGATGCTTCCAGCAATTTTCTCACCATTGCAAAAGCAAAAAAATAAAAAATAGATAGTCATTGGAGGAAAGCCAGGGTTGCCTCTCAGCTGTGGTACATAATATCCAACTGGAGAATGTGCCCTACCTCCAGGACATGGCTTAGTCCAAAAAATAAAATCCAGACGTCATCTATGAGCTCTGTTATGGGGCTTTATGATGGTTCTCTACGGGAGAAACTGTGTTGACTATGCTATTGCTGCTTCATTCTAGCTCTGGCCTACGCTCAGGCTTTGTCTCTCTGCTGCTGATCAGTGTCACCTGGTTGCTGGCCCTGCTGTCGGTCAACAGCGATGCCATCCTCTTCCACTACCTCTTTGCCAGCTTCAACTGCCTCCAGGTATGTTGTTCACACACACACACAAAAAATGACACTGAGCCTGGGAGTCAGGGCTAGCAGGGAGCTCCCTGATAATCAGTCATGTTTCTCCAGTGATGTTGCAACATCCTCCCTTTTCTGTCCCTCACAAACAAATAAACTCAACACACAAAACAATCCTCTGCTAGTCTAGCTGAATGCTGTCATTTAACAATGCAGCCCTGTTCCTATCTTTTCAGAAGCAAGTCCCATGACATTCAGTGCCTTCCTTTCCAAGGAAATAGGTGCAGAACTGCAGCCTGACTATTTTTGACCATTTTAATTTCCTTTCTTTTTCCCCAAGAACTAATTTCCCTCAGTCTCTTACAGCAGTGTTTCTCAACCTTGGGCCTCCAGATGTTCTTGGACTACAGCTCCCAGAAGCCTTCACCACCACCTCTGCTGGCCAGGATTTCTGGGAGTTGAAGTCCAAGAACACCTGGAGGCCCAAGGTCGGGGATCACTGTTTTACAGAAAGGTGAAATTCATTTTGAAGGGTTTGGGCGGGGGGGCGGCACCAACCTCTCTGCTGCCCCATGTGCATCGATTTGATGGAAGTCAATACAAATGGAAGGACAGCTGCAGCAGCCAAACTTGTGATTTTAAGAGAGAACTAAACACATGCACGGAGACTGGATTTGTTGAGAACTATTACAGAATAGCCAAGCAGAACCTCGTTCTTTGGGACCAGTTTGCCACAAAATGCTTGTTGGTGGAGCAGAGGAAAAGCCACCTCAGTGGGACAACAGCTGTCTCTTCTAGGTCCTACTTGTGGTTTTTTGAAACCATTTCTGATTGACTGGTAGGGCTAAGTGGACCTTTGGTCTGATCCAGCTAGTCTTTCTTGCTATGCTTTTGAGAGGGGCATAAGCAGTTCCCACCTTCCAGAAGACAGGGTATGTGGAGACCTCCAAAGTTGGCAGAAAAAGGAGAAAAAATGCCTGGTGTTTTAAAATGACTACTAGAATGGTGCAGTGGGACAGCAGAATTTTCATTTGCAGCCTTGAGGAATAAATTAGACTATTGATTCTTACCAATGCTCTGAGCACTTTATAAGCTGACAAATTGTGTATTAATTAACACATCATTTCACTATTGCAAAATATGCTGCAGTCTTTATGACAGGTTTCCAGATTCTGTGGGCTGCACTCCCATATTCCCCATCAACATATACATAGTAGAAAAATGGAAGATAATGAAAAATCCATCTTGGGTCCTCTAAAGCTGTGGTCCCCAACCTTGGGCCTCCAGATGTTATTGGAATGCAACTCCCAGAAGCCTTCACCATCACCTCTGTTGGCCAGGATTTCTGGGAGTTGAAGTCCAAGAACATCTGGAGGCCCAAGGTTGGGGACCACTGCTCTAAAGCAATTTTTTTAAGCTTAGTGGTCTGAGGGGCCCCAAGGGTATTGAGGAATCCCTCAAAGCCCAACAAAATTGCCTCCTGTGTACCCTAAGGTGAGAGGTTGAGCCAGCTGCCGGGCTTGTGAACTGGATGTGATGTCCACTCTTGCTCCATTTGGATGCTAGTTTGTAAAATAATTTGCTGGAAGGATTGCTGTCTAGCTTTTTACAAAATCTGGCATGCAAAAAAGGATGCGTGTATATACAGTTAGGTATGCATGTGTTCTATAAACACAGATACAAATCTATCTCATTTGTGTTTATACACCTAAACTGACACACCTGACACGTATGTGACATATTTATGTATGTGTGCACATATGTACAGTATATATAATACAAACACATAAACATAGATGTACTTCTGTCTATACATAAGTATATCTGCATCTGATATGTCTGTATGATCTTCTCCCTCAAGTAATATCCATTGGAGTAATGTAGGACCTTACCTATTTGATTAATATGTTGGCATCATAAAAATAGCAGCAACCATTCCCAGTAAGAGATTGCTTACATCTGGTTTGATTCACACATGTCCACCTGACAACGTGGCATCGGGATCTGTTTGCGTTTGTGTGTGGCTTTTAAAGAAAAATGTTACTCTGTACAAATAATTCCCGTTAATGTTTATGAATGGGAGGAGGTGAGTGGGAAGAGAATAGCAACCATGTGTGGGATGGGAGGTGAAAGCAGGGCTTACAAATGAGGTTATGATGCTGGTGGCGGCATCTTGGATACAGATGATGATGTAGGTGGTTATCATTCAAGGCATATGGTCTCTCTGATTTCTTTAACAGGGACCCTTAATCTTCATCCTCTGCATTATTTTATGCAAAGAAGTGAGGAGAGCACTCAAATCCAGCTGTGGCAAGAAGCACAGTACAGACCCCACACTTACCACCAAATCTACCCTGACAGCGGTGAGTGTTGCAGGAAGTAGCAACCCAGCAGCTTTACAAGCAAGAGATAGAGAGGGACACTGACTGGATACAGTGGTACCTCGACTTTTGAACGTCCCGACTTACGACCATTTCGAGTTACAACCAGTTCCGGCTGCAAAATGTTGCTTCTACTTGTGACTGGAGCTTCCACTTATGAACAGAAAAGGGCGGGAAATTCAAATTGCTAACTGTAGGTGGGGATGAGGCTGCTTCTTTGTAGCTCTTTCACCCCAGCAGTTAGAGAGTGTGTGTTGGAGGAGGCTTGGGACTGCCTCCTTATTCTTCTCTCTCTCTCTCTCTCTCTCTCTCTCTCTCTCTCTCTCTCTGTGTGTGTGTGTCTGTGTGTGTGTGTGTGTTTGCAGGGAGGCTTTGGGCTGCCTTGTAAGGTAAGGTGCTGTTTTCTGCTTTTTAAAAACTATTCTAGGTGTTTTTGCAGCATGGTTTTGAGCTGGGGGGGTTATGTTTCTGTGCTCTGATGC